GTACGAGGGATTGCCGGACATTAACTTGGTAATGTGGTGGTGCTTCCTGCTGGAACCATATCGTATTCACTGGAACTTGAGGGTTTCCTGGATCAGGATATAAATTTTCTAAACTTGGAATGACATCAGTTTGAAGTAGTGCCAAATAATTATCGCCATTCATGTTGCCCTCAATGAAAAAAGGACCAATTATATAGTTTCCTAAATTCCTGCCCAAACATTAACCTTTTGAGGGTATTGCGTGTGTTCTTTTCTCATACAGTGACCACACGCGGCAATTTTGCCGATTAGTCAGAATTGGATGATATTGTTATCCATGTCCATCATTTGCTCACTGGGACTCGACTGACTTCAAAGCGTCTTGATTGCATATTTGAAACCAGGATGGACATTAAATCATACCCAATAACCATTTACACAAGATTGCTCACATTAGCAGGAGGATTACATACGGATGGTTCCTAGAATTTGTAAATTCCATTCACCCTTCGAGTAAATCCGTCAGTGAGACTGGGGCCAATAACAATATTTAATACTCGTAGGGAGTATTTGGTTCAGGGTAGGTAAATCTTTATTTTCTTTTCGTAATTTTCAATGATATTCGTTGATTTTTCAATCCTGTTTTGAAATACATTGATTTTTTCAATATCAGAGGAAAAACCAAAAAGCTATTCATCAACAATAATTTCTCATTAAAATAATTTCTTTGTGAACAACATTTCATTTTATTTCAATTTTAAGCAAAATACAAAGTAATCTCTAATTTGAAGTGAAAACGAAACTCAACTTGTCCCCAACATATTTCACATACCTACTACGTATGTGGTTATGAACGATGACGCGGGTATTGTTATATTTATTTATACCTATATGCACGTAAAGTGGAATCCTTACGTATAAACAATTAGAAAATAATTACTGGATTGCTTGAAATTTGTCATTAATAACCACTTAACGATTTCCTGAGAACGACTGATAAGGATTCGGGTGGACCAAGAATTTATGGTGGCTAATTTGTACACCCGCTGAATATCACCCCACATATCCACATATTAATATTTGGCAAAATCAAATTATAAAGCGTAATTATCTTCATTCGTGTTTGAAAACCGTAGTAGTTTGGAACTGCATACTTACCTACGTTTCGCCAGCACGACTGGCTGGCTTCTTCAGAGGTTTATTCATCTTGATAATTCACCGATGACTGATGATTTCTAGTTCGCAAGTTGTATTTATGTTGACTCAGGTAGTACGGCTTGCTTGTTGATGCTATTGGCCGAAGTGTTATTACCTGTTGATGACGTAGCATAATCAATAACGTAACATAACAGGTAATAACACTTCGGCTTCAACACTCTTGAGATTCTCACTTCAACACCTCTTATGGAAGTGTTTGAGGAAAAAGAAAGGCGATGTGCCAATAAAACCACGAAATTGCCGAAGCCATCTGCACCAGCCGAAGGTGCAAGCGATACCAGCCGTTAAGCGAAAGTTATGTTCCGAAGTCTCTTCATCTTCTAATGAAAGCATAGACGACAATCTATATAATGATGATGAACTAAATGATGCCGACCCAAAAGAGTTCTGCTTGATTTGTAATGAATTTGGTAAGGACGGATAGATGTGATACAGTTGCACAATGTGTGGAAAATGGGTGCGTCAGGACTTACTTATTAAATAAGAAGAAACCCAGTGTACCCATACCTAAGACCTCCTAGGAGAAAAATTAATTATTTTTAAATATTTGTAGTAACTTAAGCCACTCTCTGATTGCGTATATTGTGTGACCCGTAATAGGTATCGCATGTTAGAAGAAAAGATCTCGTTAGTCTCTAAGTGCAACGTCGCATTTACATCGCTTCTTAGGAAAGATATTTCTACTCTGAGTTTTTTTCAGAATCCGAAAAAGAAAATAGTGGCCCTTCAATGGTTCTGCCCCTACAACCTGAGATCAACTGGTGAGAAAAATATCATTTATCATAAAAAATATAAAGAAGCCTCAGAGCGGAGGCGAGTACACCATGTGCTTTGGACCATTTATTCACATGGAGACAAAGGCAGCGCCTCATCTCCACCTGATGTCTGCTTGTATTTATACTTAAAAAAATAAGACCTTGTCAATCTTTCGACTTTTGAGATGATCCAGCTATCGTCCATCTGTATAACCCATTTCAAACCCCCTTTTCTTAGTCCACCCGGAAATCGTTCGTTAAAAGTAAGACTTTGTTTATCCTCAGCTCGTATACAAGTCTCGACTTCTGAGAATTGTCGTTCGTAAAGGAGAGAGCTGATTAACTGAAAAACAGACGTGTTTTCTGGCGTTTAATCGTATTCAAGCGTGAACTTGATAATAAGAGTCGCTAGAATGGAATGATTCAATCTGTATCAAATGTCAATTTCAATAATAAAAACAAACTTTTCAATTTGTTCTAACCTCAATTAGAATCAGATTTGTGCATTCAATTGTTTGCATAAATATTACAAATGTAGCTGTATTTTTAAAAGCAGTTGTACCTGAATTCTTTTTTTTTATTCAAAATATGGACCAACAAGGCTAGTCAACCAACAATATAAAGAAACCAATGAAATTATCAGAGTGTTATATGGTCTAATAAATGATAATACTTATATAGACAATATTGCAATAATTCTGACTTGAATATTACTAGAGTTTTATCCCAACACCAAACCGTTATTTTTAACACCTCGACATCTTCAAGAGGAAGTTTAGTCTTACTCTCCCTGTTTCTCCCCGTTTTGAATGACTCGAGATTTATTCAACACTTCAATAATGAATATAGAATGTGAAGAAATAACTAAGGATTTTGTAGGAGGAAATCAATCTGGAAAATTGCTCTTCATAACCCTCTGGTGACTTGGAAAGGAAGAGGTTTTAGCATCAGTAGTTGACAGATTTAATATCGGTTCAAGTACAACTTACTCAAGCACAGAGTTAATTTTGGATTTGATAATAAGGCTTTTTGATATAAAACGTGACCTGAAGAATTACTTGCAGTAGAAGTAAATTTCAGAGATAGGGCTGGATTTCCAGTTGTTATTGGTGCCACTGACGGTTGCAATTTCAAGTTCAAAGCTCTATATCGATCGAAAAATGTAATACTCATATCAAATTGCAGGGAACAGTTATAGCTACTAAAATATTCATTAATGTTATGGTAGGTTTTTCTGGTTCAGCTAATGGTGCTGAACGAATATTTATTGATGTGAATCAACAAGGAAAATATAGAAAGTATTTTCTTTCAGACGAGTATCACCTTGTGGGTGAATCAGCTTATCTTTTATTGAAATGGATGCTGAAGCCAATATAATGGTATTTAGAATGCAAAAAGAACGCAATTTCAACATAAAATTGACTAAAACAAAGATCATAGTTGAACACACTTTTAGACTTCTCAAGTCAAGGAATTAGCTATTTCAATGTAAATATTATTTAAAAACCAGCTAAAATTATAAAGCATGTTGTGTACTGCACCATTTTTGTTATATAAATGATGAACCATGGAATGAATATATATCCACTACCGGAAGATGATTGGTTTGTGAATGCTGGTTATATATACAGGCTGATTCACGGTGGATGGCACATTAGACGTTTCTGGTGAACCAGACAACGGATCACTTTGAAAATTCAATGGAGGGCATATTCGGACATTCTCTAGCCAACTAAAATATTTTCGACAATGCGGTGTTGCCGCTTCTATTAGAAAGCAGTAGCAACTTTGATTTTTCAAATG